GTGTGTGTGTGTGTGTGTGTGTGTGTGTGTGTGTGTGTGTGTGTGTGTGTGTGTGTGTGTGTGTGTGTGTGTGTGTGTGTGTGTGTGGGTGGGTGGGTGGGTTGGCTTCACGTGCCTGTCTCGTTCAGCTCACCCTCTCACTCCCTCGCATTCCCCTCCTCCCCATCTTCTGCGTTCTTCCCGCCTCCCTCCAACAACCAGGTGCAAGGCCTGAGCGCGTGCCTGCCGTCGCTGCTGCCCTTCTTCTCCAACCTGCTCGTCACCTGCATCCCCCAGGAAACAGACAACGCCGACGAAGCACAGCGCCAGGAATACTGTGCGTGCTCTTTGTGTGTGTGTGTGTGTGTGTGTGTGTGTGTGTGTGTGTGTGTGTGTGTGTGTGTGTGTGTGTGTGTGCGTGTGTGCGTGTGTGTGTGTGCGTGCGCGTGTGCGTGTGTGCGTGTGTGCGTGTGCGCGTATTTGTGTGTGTCTGCACGCGCGTTGTTGTATGTTGCGTTGTGTTGTGTTTGTATTCTTGCACTTGAGCTGCGTTGGCGTGCAGGTTGTGCACATGCGTGCCCGTGTTTGCATGCGTTCCACTTGTGAATATGTTCCTTCTTGCACATCGTCCCCCCCCCCAGCCTAACACCCCCCTCCCGCTGCGCCAATGCACCAGATATGGTGGTGCGCATGCTGCTGAAGACGCTCGCTGCGTTTGTGGACTGGGTGCCGCTCAAGGCGCTGTACAAGAACAACCTCCTGCTGATGCTGTGCGAGCTGCTGAGCGTGGAGCCCCACCGCCAGGCTGCAGCAGACTGCCTCCTCCTCATTGTCGAGCGGAAGGGCCCCCGTGACGAGCGCGCCCCGCTGCTTGATATTCTCCAGCACCTCGGGCCCATTGTCGCCTCAGGTCGCCCACACGCACACGCACATGTCGCTTGGTGTTGTGTCTTTTGGTGTTGTGTCGTTTGGTGTGTTGCTCCGCTTGGTTTGCTTATGTGTGTCTGAGACCATGCGCCTTTGGCGGTGTGCACCTCACGTGCGGGGATGTGTTGTTGGATTTGCAGTGGAGGCGCTGACGCAGTCGAGCATGGACAACGAGGACGTGTACACGTTCGTCAAGCGCCTAGCACAGGTCTGTTGAGCGCGCCCTTGACTGACTCCCGTTTGGCGGGAATCGCACACACGCACACGCACATACATACACACACGCACATACACACAAAGTCACTTGCAAAGTGCCCACTCAATTACACACCCACACCCCGCACTCACGCACGTTCAGGTGATCACGGTGCTGGGGACAAACCAGCTGTGCAGTCTGTGCGGGCCCGGGTCCATCAAGCGCGAACCCCCAAAGAACTTTGACGACTACGTCCGCGTCCTTTACGAATTCACCCTCCACCCAAGGTCTCACGCATGAATGTTATGTTTGGGTTGCCTCGTGCTGTCGTGTGCTGCGTTGTGCTGTGCGTGTATGTATTATGGCTGCTTCCGCTTTCTGTACGTGTGCTCATACCCCCCCCCTTTACGCCACATGCATCTCCTTCCTCCTTTATCTCTCCCTCCTTCCTGCACCTCCTCCCTTCTCCCTCCTTCATCCCTTCTTCCTCGTTCCACTGTCCCGTCGGCAGCGCGGTGGTGTCGTCGCTGACGTTCGTGTGCTGGGCAACCATGCTACGGAACGACGTACTCAAGCAGACCGACGTCATGAAGCGCCTCCAGCTCCCGCTCGCCGAAGTCCTCTGCGACAAGTGCGTACCAGCGGCATAATGCTGCTGCTGGTGGTGGTGGTGGTTCTGTGTGGTTGTCTCTGCGCGCGTGTCTGTGCTTCAATTGTGGTGTGCGGTGCAATATTGCTTGTGCATTCATCCCCCCTTCATCATCGCCCCCTGCATCGCCGCTCCTCTCCCTTCGATTCAGGATGGTGCGGCGCGGCAATCCCGAGGTCGGCTTCTTCGGCGAGTCCGGTACGTCATCGTCGTCATCATCATCATCATCATGACCACAACCATCACAAGCATCACAAGCAACCCAGACGAGCAGTGGCCGTGTGGTGGTGCTCCTTGTCTTCGTGTGTTGTATACACACACACACACACACACACACGCACACACGCACACACAGCTTGCCGCGTGTTCCTCTCTTGCACTCTCACCCACGACGCGACACACCTTTTGCAGCTGTGTTCAGCGAGCAGGACTTCAGCGATTTGGAGGAGTGGAACAGCTTCTTCTCCGTGTACCGCAGCCAGGCCCTCACCATCCTCAGCCTCATCAGCACACACTTTCCCACAGCCGTACGTTGCGTTGTTCTGCCTTGCGATTCTGATTGTGGTCGTGGTTGTTGTGATAAACGTTCGTCTGCTCTCTTCGCATGTTCAAACACACAAGCACGTTCACACAACCACACGCACGCATGCACACGATTCCATCCCACATCGTTCGTCCCTCCCCTACCCCGCCCCTTTTTTGCCACTGGGCAGATGGTGAACCTGCTTGCAACAAACCTGAGCAATCTGGTGGACAACACGCCCGCCGCGCTGGAGAGTGCGCCGCGAAATTCAAACGGGGAGCTTGAGTCGCACGCGGAGGTGCTTGAGGCGTGGGATGCAATGGGCCGCATCTGGGAGGCGAGCGCCCCGCCAGCACACGACCAGCTCATGCAGCAGCTTGCAAAGGGCCACGACTCTGGCGCAATGGCCGTTCTTGGGCAGTGCTTCCAGGTGCCCTGTGTGTGTGTATGCACGTGTGTTTTGTGTGTATGTGTGTGCTTGTGTGTGTATGTGTGTTCGCGTGCTGTATTGTGTAGAGTTCTGGCATTCTTGCATCGGTTTCCTCCTTTGCTCCGCCCTGCACACCAGTGACGGTTCCCCTCGTTGCTCCCTCTGTCTCTCATGCCATTCACAGGCTGCGCTGACTTGGGCGAGCCGCGAGCCGAAACTCTACCTCTGCGAACTCTCCGTCCTCGGCTCAATGGTCGTCTGCCTCAACGAAATGGTATGCCGTGTGCGTGTGTGTGTGTGCGTGTGCGTGCGTGCGTGTGTGTGTGTGTGCGTGTGCGTGCGTGCGTGTGTGTGTGTGTGTGTGTGTGTGTGTGTGTGTGTGTGTGTGTGTGTGTGTGTTTGGGTGTTTG